GCCCCGCCTGAGCGAGGAGGGTATCGGAATACCATACTATTTACATGGTTTCGTGCCCCTCCCACCCCTCCAGGGAGGCCCCGCCTGAGCGAGGAGGGCATCAAGAAAATTGTTCATCTCTTTATGTGGGGAACTCCGTTAGCATAATTTTCCCAGAACACCATCTCCTTCCCACCCACCTCCCGCTCCATCTTCCATACAGCACAATATTATTCCTACCACACACACCATACCATACCATAGTTCCTACCACACATACCATACCATACCATACCATACCATACCATACCATAGCATACCATACCATATCACACCAATGCCACACCGTACCATACCATACCATACCTCCAGTACCATACCATACCATATCATACCATACCGTACCATACCATACCTACCATACCATTCCATACCACTCCATACCGAAAACCATACTACTTACATGGTTTCGTGCCCCTCCCACCCCTCCAGGGAGGCCCCGCCTGAGCGAGGAGGGTATCGGAATACCATACTATTTACATGGTTTCGTGCCCCTCCCACCCCTCCAGGGAGGCCCCGCCTGAGCGAGGAGGGTATCGGAATACCATACTATTTACATGGTTTCGTGCCCCTCCCACCCCTCCAGGGAGGCCCCGCCTGAGCGAGGAGGGTATCGGAATACCATACTATTTACATGGTTTCGTGCCCCTCCCACCCCTCCAGGGAGGCCCCGCCTGAGCGAGGAGGGTATCGGAATACCATACTATTTACATGGTTTCGTGCCCCTCCCACCCCTCCCGGGAGGCCCCGCCTGAGCGAGGAGGGTATCGGAATACCATACTATTTACATGGTTTCGTGCCCCTCAGGGAGGCCCCGCCTGAGCCTATCTATTTACATCCAGGGAGGCCCCGCCTGAGCGAGGAGGGTATCGGAAAACCATACTATTTACATGGTTTCGTGCCCCTCCCACCCCTCCAGGGAGGCCCCGCCTGAGCGAGGAGGGTATCGGAATACCATACTATTTACATGGTTTCGTGCCCCTCCCACCCCTCCAGGGAGGCCCCGCCTGAGCGAGGAGGGTATCGGAATACCATACTATTTACATGGTTTCGTGCCCTCCCACCCCTCCAGGGAAGGCCCCGCCTGAGGTTTCGTGCCCCTCCCACCCCTCCAGGGAGGCCCCGCCTGAGCGAGGAGGGTATCGGAATACCATACTATTTACATGGTTTCGTGCCCCTCCCACCCCTCCAGGGAGGCCCCGCCTGAGCGAGGAGGGTATCGGAATACCATACTATTTACATGGTTTCGTGCCCCTCCCACCCCTCCAGGGAGGCCCCGCCTGAGCGAGGAGGGTATCGGAAAACCATACTATTTACATGGTTTCGTGCCCCTCCCACCCCTCCAGGGAGGCCCCGCCTGAGCGAGGAGGGTATCGGAATACCATTTTTACATGGTTTCGTGCCCCTCCCACCCCTCCAGGGAGGCCCCGCCTGAGCGAGGAGGGTATCGGAAACCATACTATTTATATGGTTTCGTGCCCCTCCCACCCCTCCAGGGAGGCCCCGCCTGAGCGAGGAGGGTATCGGAAACCATACTATTTACATGGTTTCGTGCCCCTCCCACCCCTCCAGGGAGGCCCCGCCTGAGCGAGGAGGGTATCGGAATACCATACTATTTACATGGTTTCGTGCCCCTCCCACACCTCCAGGGAGGCCCCGCCTGAGCGAGGAGGGTATCCGAAAACCATACTATTTACATGGTTTCGTGCCCCTCCCACCTCTCCAGGGAGGCCCCGCCTGAGCGAGGAGGGTATCCGAAAACCATATTATTTATATGGTTCCGTGCCCCTCCCACACCTCCACGCAGGCCCCGCCTGAGCGAGGAGGGTATCCGAAAACCATACTATTTACATGGCTTCGTGCCCCAAAAATGGGTCCCACGAAACCGTTAATCTCTTTATGTGGGGAACTCCGTTAGCATAATTATTTTTGAATACTCCTCCTGTAGAGGGACATGCCCGACTTAATTCTGTCGGCAAGCAATCCAGCTCGCCCAGGCCAACGAACCAAATATCCCTGGAACACAGGCGTCAGATCGGGAGGCACAGAGCCCTCCTGCCGCCGCGGGGGGGGCAGTCGCAGTGGAATTGCTCGTCATCACAGCCGAGCGCTGGTGCCTCCTCCTCCTCCTCCTCCTCCTCCTCCTCCTCTTCTTCTTCTTCGTCTTCTTTTTCTTCTTCTTCTTCTTCTTCTTATTCTTCTTCTTCTTCGTATTATTATTCTTATTCCTCTTCTTCTTATTATTATTATTATTATTATTCTTCTTCTTCTTCCTCTTCCTCCTCCTCCTCCTCCTCCTCCTCCTCCTCCTCCTCCCTCCTCCTCCTCCTCCTCCTCCTCCTCCTCCTCCTCCGCCTCCTCTCCTCTCCTCCTCCTCATCCTCTCCTCCTCCTCCTCCTCCTCCCTCCTCCTCCTCCTCCTCCTCCTCCTCCTCCTCCTCCCCCTCCTCCGCCTCCTCCTCCTCCTCCCTCCTCCTCCTCCTCCTCCTCCTCCTCCCTCCTCCTCCTCCTCCTCCTCCTCCTCTCCTCCTCCTCCTCCTCCTCATCCTCCCGCCTCCTCCTCTCCTCCTCCTCCTCCTCCTCCTCCTCCTCCTCCTCCTCCTCCTCCTCCTCCTCCTCCTCCTCTCCCATTCCTTCTCCTGGTGAATAACTCATCCCTGGCGCACCCCCAGACGTGTCAGTCGGGCGGCCGGGCCCGGCGTCTCGCCTGAGACTTCCTCGCCATGAATCAGCCCGAAGCTTGAAATGTGCAACAGCTTGCGTTGTTTAACTGTGGTTGTCGCTTCAGCGCCGCGCACAACTCGTCCCAACACACTGCGACCAGCTCGTGGGCTGGAGCACGGGGGTACTCAGAACGTGGGCTCTCGCCCAGCGCCGCGCACATTCGTCTGACAGATGTGCCACGGCGTCAAGGACGGAGGGCGGCCCGTTGTCAAGATGAAGCTCTCGCCTGAGCGCCGCGCACATTCGCCCTGAGAGTCTGGAACAGCTTCAGGGACGGAGGGCGGGCTGTTCTCAAAATGTAGCTCCCGCCGTTCGTCTCAACAGCCAGCAAAAGATTCCAGGAATCGCACGGCCGAAGTCCAAGAAATTGCGTTCTGCCACGAGTTAGGATTGCCAGGACGTGACAGTCACGTTGATTCGCGGCGTTGAAGTTCAAGGAGTGGTATTCTGGCACGATTTGAGTTTGTCAGGACGCAACAATCACGTTCATTCGCGGCGATGGGGTACCAAAAATGGCGTTCGGGCACGACTGCCGATGCTCGGACGGTTGTCTTTCAATGGGGCACTTCCCGCAGTGAAAGACATCCGCCACCGTGCCCCGAGGTACGAGTTCGAGTGTCCGCAGGGACTTTGGACTTCGAGGCTCCTGGGCGCTCCTGGGCGCTCTCGGGCACTCTCGGGGATCCCCGCGTAGCTTTTCGAGACGCCAAGAGCGCGGCGTTCGGGACATGCACGGCCACTTTGGTTTCAGATGGCCCCGGGGGCCGTCCTGGAGCCCTCTTGGGCGACTCTTGGGTCGTCTTGAAGGCCCTGGAGGGCGGCGCAGGAAGGTAAAACCGTCGAATTCCATAAGATGTTGTATGGCTTTCGCTGTGCTGCCTTCCAAAGCTTCAGGGCGCCCGAGACGGCCCAAGGGGCGCCCAAGATCGCTCCAAAACGGCCCAGGAAGCCCGCAAAGGGCCCGAGAGGCCCCCAAGACGGCCCCAAAACGACTCCGAGAGGGGCCCAAGATGGGGAACACGAACTGCCACGTTGAGCCCTCCGCCCCAAGATGGCCCCAAGATACCCCCACAAGCCCCCGAGGTGGGCCCAAGAGGCCCCAAAAGGCTCCGAGAGGCCCAGATCAGGCCCCAAGAGGCCCCCAAGACGCCCCAAAACACCCCCAAAATCGCCTCCAAGAGGCATCCTAGAGGCCTCTCAAGAGATCCCCACAGGCATCCAGGAGGCCTCTGACCTACCACTCAGGCACGGTGGTGGGATGGGCCGAAGGCCACTAGATTCTTGTAGGGGCCCATGGAGAGGCAACTTGGAAAGAGGATTTATTCCAACATCGTTGATGCGTCTTGGGTTTACACTGGTCCTCCTCCTCCGCAGCAGCAGCAGTTGCCACATTCCTCTTCCTCCTCTCCCTTCCCTCCCTTCTCTCAAGGCTTCCGAAACCCTGCGAGAACATCCGAAAGCTTGCAAAAGCCCCCCTGGGACCTCTAGAAAGCTGCCTCCATGCTGCCTCCTCCCTCGAACACCAAAAAAAAAACGCTGGTCGGCCGAGCCTTCTGAAGCCCCCAGGAGACCGGCCGGGGCCGCCCGAAGGTCTCCCGAACTCCCGCGGAGACCCCTCGGGGCAAAGCCCGCCGGTGGGCGGAGCCTCCGAGAGCGCAACCCAAGGAAGTTGGCGACGGCGGCGACGGCGGCGACGCTGGCGGCGGCGGTGGCGACGCCGACGACGCTGGCGGCAGCGGCAGCGGCGGCGACGCTTGCGAGGCAGGGATTTATCCATGTCCACCGTCTGGGAACTGACGTCTCGGTGCCCCAGCGGGCGGTGGATCTGCAGACATATGTGTATATATATACATATACATGTGTATGTGTGTATTAGCCCCCAGGCGCCCGAACATATGTCCATATCCACCGCCTGCCGAGTTCCCCGAAGACTGATCCTCCAGGCGGTGGCCATGTATAAATTCCCACCTCGGAACACGAGAAATAAAAAATACTCCCCCAAAAATGCTCAAACAATGCTCAAGAATCATCGAGAAATCATTCCCAGACTATGTTTTACTATTTCTGAATTTTCCCCCTCTTGAGGGACAGGCCCGACTTAACGCTGGCGGCGGCGGCAGCGGCGGCGACGCTGGCAACGGCGGCGAAGACGGCGACGGCGAAGGCGGCGAAGACGGCGAAGACGGCGACGGCCAAGACGGCGGCGCCGGCGCCAACGAGCGCGCGCCCGGGAGAGGCCTCTTCTGCGCCCGCAGCGTGGGGCTGGCGTGCTGGAGGTGCAGCCACCTCGGCCGGGGGCGCGCAAACGTGGATTCGCGATCCATAAAAACCGTGGCCCTCGATCCTCTATCCTTCCCCTTCTCCGCCCTCCCTGAGGCCTCGATCCTCCATCTGCCAAACAAAAACTTGGCCCTCGATCCTCCATCCTCCCCTTCTCCGCCCTCTCTCGTCTCATCCCTCGATCCTCCACCCCCCCAAAAATGGTTCTCGATCGGCCATCCTCCCTCGGGGGCGCGCAAACATAGATTAGCGATCCATGGATTTGGCGCGTGGTCGCCAAATCCATGGATCGGGGGGAGGTGTCCTCCCCAAAACGCGGCCTGTGCCGCCTCGCTCGGCGGCGGAAAGCCGCGGTTTCCCGCGGAACCGGGGCCCGTCGCTGATCCACGCCCCCCTGATCCATGTTTGCAATCGCCTGACTTTGGCCGTCGGGGGATGGACGACCGCGCAGCCAGGTCGGACGACGACGACGACGAAGACGACGAAGACGACGACGACGACGACGACGACGACGACGACGACGACGACGACGGCGGCGGCGGCGGCGACGATGACGACGACGGCGGCGGCGACGACCTGCTCTCCCCACACCTCCCCCTCCCCCCAGAGGCCCACTGCAGGAGAACCTTTCCCCCTTCCTGCCCACCTCCCCCACGTGCATCTGCAAGCCCTGGCCCGTGTGCCCCCGCAGCGGCGTCGCAGGGACAGCAGCGGGGCGGGCACGCAGGAAGCAGTTGCCGAGTGGCACTGGCAGAATCCCCACCCCGAAATACCCGTCCGTGGCCTCGTCACCCCTCCCCCTCTCTCCCGGGGAAGCCCAGAATCGAATCGATGCCTCGGGTCGGCGATCGAAACGAATCGGATCGGCCGAATCGACGGAGATCGGCAGGCTCTCCCTCAAAGCTCGATGGCAGTGGACGTTCAACCAGATCCTCTGTCCCCATCCCCTCGAGCACAACAAAACCTCCACTAGAAACCCAACCCTGAGACTCCAGAAGGTCCATTGCTTTTTGGTGCGGGAACGTCACACCTTCCACGGCAAAACCATCGAAACCCGAGAAGCCCAAGGTACCCTGGGGGCAAGCAGGGTGCTTCTTGGCATGGGTTTGAAATGCACAGCCCCTTCCTCCCTCCCCCTCGTGCCCAGACCTCTGGCGTCGTGATGCTTCACGACGTGGGCTCTCGACCCCTTCCCTGAGACCGGGCTGCCGTCGCGCTGAACAAATGTGTTGCACCCCGGGCCCCGGGAGCGGCCTCTGGAGGCCGAGAGGACGGGACGACGGGACGCTCCGACGTCTCCGTGACGCAACACGTCTGGGCCACCCTCTGGATGCAGCCGTGGCGACGGGGGCGCCCCTGGAGGTTCGACGGTTCGGCCAAGTCCTCAAACCACCCAGGGACATCGCTCCCTCCAAACATCTTGATCCTTGATCATTGACTCTCCCCTCTCCGCCCTCCCTCAGCCCTCGATCCTGAATCCGCCCCCAAAAAATCCTCGATCCTCCATCATCCCCCTCTCCACACTCCCTCAGCCCTCGATCCTACATCCCAAAAAAACCGTGACCCTCGATCCTCCATCCTCCCCTTCTCCGCCCTCCCTCAGCCCTCGATCCTCCATCTGCCAAACAAAAACTTGGCCCTCGATCCTCCATCCTCCCCTTCTCCGCCCTCTCTCGTCTCATCCCTCGATCCTCCCTCCCACCCAAAAAAAGGTTCTCGATCGGCCACTCTCCCTTCGCCACCCTCCCTCTGCCCTCGATCCTCCATCCCCCGAAAGCCTTGGCCCTCGATCCGTCATCCTCCCCTTCGCCGGCCCCCCGTCAGCCCTCGATCCTCCATCCCCCAAAAGCCTTGGCCCTCGATCCTCCATCCTCCCCCCTCTCCGCCCTCCTTCGGCCCCCCATCCTCGATCCTTCAAACACCTTGGCCCTCGATGAGACGGGGAGGACGGCGGAACGAGGGTCGAGGCTTTTGGGGGGATGGAGGATCGAGGGCCGAGGGAGGGCGGAGACGGGGAGGACGGCGGATCGAGGGTCACGGTTTTGTGGGGGGGACGGAGGATCGAGGGCCGAGGTAGGGCAGAGAAGGGGAGGACGCGGATCGAGGGCCGAGGCTTTGGGGGGGATGGAGGATCGAGGGCCGAGGGAGGGCGGAGACGGGGAGGACGCGGATCGAGGGTCGAGGCTTTTGGGGGGATGGAGGATCGAGGGCTGAGGGAGGGCGGAGAAGGGGAGGACGCGGATCGAGGGTCGAGGCTTTTGGGGGGGATGGAGGATCGAGGGCCGAGGGAGGCGGAGAGGGGGAGGATGGAGGATCGAGGGTCACGGTTTTGTGGGGGGGACGGAGGATCGAGGGCTGAGGGAGGGCGGAGACGAGGAGGATGGAGGATCGAGGGTCACGGTTTTGTGGGGGGGACGGAGGATCGAGGGCTGAGGGGGGGGCGGAGACGAGGAGGATGGAGGATCGAGGGTCACGGTTTTGTGGGGGGGATGGAGGATCGAGGGCTGAGGGGGCGGAGACGAGGAGGATGGAGGATCGAGGACCATTCTTGGGGGGGGCGGAGAGGGGGAGGATGGAGGATCGAGGACCATGTTTAGGGGGGCATGGAGGATCGAGGGCTGAGGGAGGGCGAAGAAGTGGAGGATGGAGGCGTCCTCCCTCGGCCCTCGATCCTCGATCCCCCAAAAAACCTTTACCCCCGATCCTCGATCCTCGATCCCCCGATCCCCCGATCCTCGATCCCTGGATCCTCGATCCCCCAAGAGAAACCTTGCTGCTCGATCCTCCCTCCTCGACCCTGCGCGGGCCGTGGCCCCGCCCGGAGGTCTCTCTCTGGCAGGACGACGCCAGGCCGAGGACCAGATCGAAGGGCGACGATCGAGGACGAAGATCGAGGACGAAGGGCGAAGCTCAAGGGCGAAGGGCGAAGATCGAGGACGAAGGGCGAAGATCAGGGACGAAGATCAAGGACGAAGGACGACGATCGAGGACGAAGGGCGAAGATCAGGGACGGAGATCAGGGACGAGGGACGAAGATCAGCGACGAAGATCAAGGACAAGGATCGAGTGAGGACGAGGGGCGCAGATCCGTGGAGGAGAGGCTCCCATACCTCGAGTAGGAGGTCGACTACAGCACTGAGCTGCCTCAAGATTCATTTGCTCGTCGAATCTGCGAAAGCACGTCGGATTCCCGTAGATCGATACCCGTTCGATATCTTTCTCTCGTAATTCTGGGGTCAGTCCATTCTGTAGTCGATCCCCTACTCGAATACCGCGACCTGGGAGGCTCTCGTCGCCACCGCTGGAATCACTTCGAAATCCTAGTCAGAACGCACCCTGGGAGAGGTCCCGGGAGTAGCGGTATCGGTACCTCTTGGTTTCCCCAGAAGCCAGGGCGAGGACGAGCCAGGAGGAGAACTTCTCAGGCCTGGCGGTTCTGAAGGATGAATCGAGCGCCGCGGGATTCTCGGAGCGTTCCGGGGAGCTCTGAGGGCGTTCTGGAACGCTCTGGAACGGATCGCCGTCCTAGCTCCGCCCGGCTCGGCCTCGACCCCATCCAGGGCCTGGGCACACGCCAAAGGGGGCCGAGGTGGAGCGGAGAAGGTACCCCCCCGAAGTACGAGGCAATCGTCGCCCGATTTGGCGACGCAGCGCGCGGAGTCTGCGCGGCCGGACCCAGGACGGAAGAACCCCCTCCGCCGGCCACGCTGAAGAAGATTCGAGAGCACCCTCCTCCAGGATGCACGAGAACATCCAACAAGCACGAAGAGCATTAGCGCACCCTCCCCGAACCGACTTCGATCTCATACCTGGGTCCGACCGTGTGTGGAAGCGGACCCGCCCCTGATCCATCCTTCATCCATGGTTGCGCTTCCTCGAGGTGCGGCGCTCTACTGACGCCCCTCTGGGGCGAGCCCCCCCAGGAAGGCGCAAAGCCGCCTGGTACAGGCGGTCAGCGCCGCCAACTTGCAGGCGTCGTTGGCCTGGTACGCCTCAAGGGGGCGACGACGGCATCGCCCTCATCATCATCCTCCTCCTTTTCCTCCTCCTCCTCCTCTTACTCCCTCCTCCTCCACCTCCTCCTCCTCCTCCCCCCTGCTCCTCCTCCTCCTCCCCCTCCTCCTCCTCCTCCTCCTCCTCATCCTCCTCCTCCTCATCCTCCTCTTCCTCCGCCTCCTCCTCATCCTCCTCCGCCTCCTCCTTCTCCTCAACCTCCTCATGTCTCAACCTCCTCACGTGCCTCCTCCATTCCTGTTCAACCTCCTCACGTGCCTCCTCCATTCCTTCTCCTTATATATATATACAAACATATATATATACTAGAACCATCGCGCGCTTCGCGCGCGCTCAGGTTCTAGCCCAGGCTGGGGGTGCGCTAGAAGATCTTGGACAGCGCTATCAAGCACAGGCGCGTGACATAGTCGTGCCTCCTGAGGGCCTCTTGGGAACCTCTTGGGTCTTCGGGGGGGCATCTGAAGGGCTTCTGGGGGGTGCTCCGTGCTTCCTCAATTGGCTGTTGGAGGCACTTCTTGGGTGCTTCTCAAGGGGACATATTGGGGCTTCTTGAGGTCCCTTGGGGGCATTGTCAGGGTTCTCCGGGCAGTCGGAAAGTGATGTTCTGCAGTCTGAAGCAGTCAATTAGCTGTCTTGGCTGCGTGGAGCCCCGGCTTGAGGCCACACTGGGGCAATCCGGAAGCCTCCTGGGGCCTCCTTGAAGCAATTTTGATGCATCGAGAGCCCTGTTCGGCTATCTTGGGGCCCCGTGTACGTCTCCTATGAACCTTTCGGGGCCTGGTGGGGGGCTTTGGGTGGGAAGAGGCCCTCAAGACGGTCCAAGATGGCCCCGAGACGCCCAATGATCATCCCGACGGGCCCCAAGACGGCCCAAGAGGCCGCCAAGGCGCCCCAAGAGGCCTCCAAGAAGCCGCCCAAGAGAGCCCCGAGAACGAATGTTATTGATTTGTCTACGGCTTTTTATAGTTTGGCCTTCTCGCCTTTCCAGCTTCTAGACAAGACGGCCCACGAGGTCCCCAAAACCACCCCAAGATGACCCAAGAGGCCACCAAGAGGGCCCGAAGATGGACCAAGAGGGCCCCAAGACGGCCCAAGAGGCACCCAAGACGGCCCAAGAGGGCCCCAAGACGGCCCCGCGAGGAGCCCAGGAGGGGAACCACGAACCGAAAATTCAAGCCTTCTGCCCTACGAAGGCCCCAGGAGGCCCCACGAGGGCCCGAAGAGACCCCAAGAGGCCCCCAACAGGCCCAAGACGGCCCCAAGAGGCCCCCGAAAGGCTCAAAAGAGGCCCCAATAAGGTCCCCAAGAGGCGTCCAAACTGCCTCCAAGATACCTCCGAGAGGCCTCCCACGAGATCCCTACGAACGTCCACTAGACTTCTTACACACAACCCAAGCACGGTGGCGGGATGGGCCGAAGGCCATTAGATCCGCCGCCCCCTGCTTGCAGGGGTGCACGGCGTGCTGGACGATTCAGGTTTTGGTTTTGGTTCTTTTTCTAAAAGAACTCCCCAGTGGGCTTCGGCCCGTCCCGCCGGCCACCCGTAAGTTTCCGAAAATCCATCTGTCAATGCCTTTGTTGCCCCAACTTGGCCCAAGATGGCCTCCAAGACGGCCAAGATGGCCCAAGATGGCCTCCAAGATGCCTCCAAGACGGCCAAGATGGCCTCCAAGACGGGTAAGATGGCTCCAAGATGCCTCCAAGACGGCCCAAGATGCCCTCCAAGACGGCCAAGATGGCCCCAAGATGCCTCCAAGATGGCCCAAGAGGCCTCCAAGACGTTCTCCAGGAGAGCCCGAAGAGGCCAAAATCATTGGTTTTCCTTAGGTTTTTGAAGGTTTTTTGCGTTTTCTTCTTTTCGGCCTTCCGACGGCCCAAGAGGCCCCCAAGATCGCCCAAGAGGCCTCCAAGAAGGCCCTATGACGGCCCAAGGGCCCCCCAAGACGGCCCCAAGAGCGCCCCAAGACGGCCCAAGAGGCCTCCAAGACGCCCAACATGGCCTCCAAGACGGCCCTGAAGCGCCCCAAGAGGGCCCCAAGACGGCCCAGAGAGGCCCCCAAGACGGCTCCAGACGGCGTCAGACGGACCAGGAACGCCCTAAGACGGCCAAAGAGACCCCCAGGAAGCCCCCAAAGGCCCCCAAGAGGCCCAAGGAGGCCCCCAAGATGCCTCCAAGAGGCCTCGAAGAGGCCCCCAAGAAGCCCCCAACAGACCCCAAGGGTGCCCCAAGAGACTCCTAACAACCCTCATCCTCCTACTCTATTTCTTCCTCTTCCTCTTCCTGTTCATAATCATTCTCTCCCATGTGTTCCCCGAAAGCTTTCCAAACCGACTCGGGGAACTCATGGTCCGATAGCTTGGCCAAGCTCTAATCCAACTTTCGGCCACATCGGCGTCTCCAAAAAGGCAGGGGGCGGCGGTGATTCGCCGTAGGCGTCTTCGATAAATTAGTTCTGCCCTGAGGCGTTGCCATGTAATGTGTAGGGTCTTCCGTTTCCGCTGCATTGCATTACAAGTCAGTTGCATTACATTGCATTGCATTGCACTGCGTTGCGTTGCATTGCATTGCATTGCATTGCATTGCATTGCATTGCATTGCATTGCATTGCATTGCATTGCATTGCATTGCATTGCATTGCATTGCATTGCATTGCATTGCATTGCATTGCATTGCATTGCATTGCATTGCATTGCATTGCATTGCATTGCATTGCATTGCATTGCATTTTTACATTGCATTTTCGTGCTACGCATTACGTTGCATTGCACACGCAATTGCACAAGATTTCGCTCCCAGATAAGCCAAATACGGGTTGACCACAACCAAACGCCAAAGTGACAAACCCGCAAGCCGATCAACCAACAAACCAGCCGACCTACAAGCCAACCAGCCTACCAACCAGCCAGCCAACCAGCCAACCAACCAATCAACGAACCAACACCAACCAGTCCTCACGGTGGCATTATTCAGGATGTGCCACACCGCTGGGCCCGGATTAGGTTTTTTTCGACCCGGCAGCCAGCCAGCCAGGCCACACAATGGGGCGTGTCTTGAGGATGTCTCACACGGCATGCCATGAAATAATTGTTTTGGCCCAGAACACATGATTCCCAACCCTGAAGAATAATTCCTATTACCCCGAACAGATAAATGTATTTACCCCTTCTCCCGAGACTCACCATCCCCATCCGAAGCAAAGTCATCACCATCATGACCATCACCATCACCTCAATCACCATCACCATCACCATCACTATTACAATCATCGTCACCACCATCACAATCACCATCACCATCACCATCACCGTCATCAGCATCATCGTCAGCATCAGCATCAACATCACCATCACCATCACTCTATATCACCATCACCATCACCATCGTCAGCAGCAGCATCATCATCAGCAGCAGCATCAGCATCAGCATTAGCATCACCATCACCGTCACCACCACTATCACCATCACCATCATCATCACCATCGTCGTCATCATCAGCAGCATCAACATCAGCATGAATTAGTATCATCATCAGCATCAGCATGATCATCAGCATTGTCACCATCATCATCGTCGTCATCATCAGCAGCATAATCACCATCACCATCACCATCACCATCATCGCCGTCATCATCATCAACATAATCAGCATCAGCATCATCATCAGCATCGTCATCATCATCATCAGCATCATCATCATCATCATCATCATCATCATCATCATCATCCTAATCAGCATCATCACCACCATCATCAGCATCATCAGCATTATCAGTATCAGCATCATCATCACCATCATCAGCAGCATCATACTCAGCAGCATCATCATCATCATCATCAGCATCATCATCATCATCATCATCATCATCATCATCATCATCATCATCATCATCATCATTATCAGCCTCGCCTCACCTTACTCCTCCTCCTTCCTCCTCCCTCCTTCTCCTCCTCCTCCTCCTCCTCCTCCAATCGCGTTCCCGTGCGCACTCCCATCCTCCTTCCTCCCCCTCCCTCCGCAAGCGCTCCCGCGCACACCGGAGGGCGGAGAGGAGGGAAGAGGGAGGAAAGGAGGTGCGAGGAGGAAGGGAGGGGGGAGGAGGCAGGGAGGGAGGGAGGAGGCGAAGGATATCGGAGGAGGCAGGGAAGCAGGGAGGCGGGAGGAGCAAGGGAGGAGAGCGGACGGAGCAGGAAGAGAGAAGGCGAAGGCTAACGGAGGGAGGAGGTGGGGTCAGAATGGGATGGAGCGATGAAGGGATGGAGGCATGGCGGAGGCATGGGGGAGGACGCCGACGCCGACGCCGACGCCGACGCCGACGCCGACGCCGACGCCGACGCCGACGACGCCGACGCCGACGACGACGACGACGACGACGACGGCGACGGCGGCGGCGGCGGCGGCGGCGACGGCGACGGCGACGGCGGCGGCAACAGGGTCACGGCGATGTCGACGACCGACTGCGGCGGGGCAGTGGGCCGCGGGCGGGCGGGCGGGCGGGCGGGCGGCCTTCCAGGCCGCCTCGAGCGCGATGCCTCCGGGCGCGCCCCGGCGGAGATGGAGGCGGAGATGGGGATGTAGATGGGGATAAGGATGGAGATGGGGATGAGGATGGAGATGGAGATGGAGATGGAGATGGGGATGGGGATGGGGATGGGGATGGGGATGGGGATGTAGATGGGGATGGGGATGGAGATGGAGATGGAAGGCGGTGGCGCGGCGGCGGAGGCCAGCGTTGGCACCAGCGCCCCGCTGCTACAGCCGGGGCGTACGACAAGGATGCGCGGTAAGGATGCAAGGGCCTCGGAGGGCCATGTTGGCCGTTTTCAACTGGGACTGGCCAGCGGAAGCCGCCGATGATGGGCCGAAGGGGCAAGGATGCAAGGCATCCTTGGAAAGTTGTTCATGATTGCTATGCGCCCTGACTGTGCCCTTCACAGGCATAAGTCCCAGTAGAGATGCAAATCGAGTAAAAATGAAGAACTCGCCAAAAATGCAAAAGCACACTTTCCCAAACCCATCAAACATGTGGGTGCCGTTTGCGGGGCGTGTCCGGCGGGACTGCTGGCGTTGGCCACAAGACCTACCCAAAACGCGTCCTGAAGACGCCAGCGTGCAAGAGGAGTCAGGATCCTCACGAGCAGCGAGCATATCCGTATCCGCGCACTCACGGTCTGGATTCTGGGGCGTGATCCCGCAGACACGCGGTTGCACGGATGCGTTCCGCGCGGGGCATCCGCCCCCTGGGGTCGCGGCCAAGGGGCCCGGCCCGCCAGGCCGCGGATATAGATGACTCACCCACGACATGCCCCTCGACCCCAGGATCTCTCGAAGCTGCCCGATGCGGGCCGAAGCGTCTGTTCGGGAGAGGGTAAGGGGGGGAGGTCGTCGTCGTCCCTGTCGTCGTCGTCGTCCTCCTCCTCACGTCTATCGCCCGTCGTCCGCCGTTCGCCTTCCATCGTCATCGTCCGTCGTCGTCGACGTCTACCTGTTCCTCCTCCCCCTCCCCCTCCCCCTCCTCCTCCTCCTCCTCCTCCTCCTCCTCCTCCTTCTCCTCCTTCTCGCAAGAGGGAGAAGGAGGAGGAGGAGGAGGAGGACGAGGAGGAGGAGGGGAAGGAGGAAGGGATGACCGAGGGAGGAGGAAGGGTAGGATAAGCAGGAAGTCATCTCCCTCATCGTCGGCATCATCCTCTTCCTCCTTCTCCAACTCCGATTCCAAGTCCAACTCCAAGTCCAACTCCACCATCATCTTCCCGCTGTTCTCATCCCCCGTCTCACCCTGTCATCCCCCCTCTCTCCGACCTACTCGGGGGGAGGAAGAAGAGGGGGATGAGGAGACAGAGAGCGAGAGAGGGAGGGCGAGAGAGCGAGAGACACATATATATATATATATATATATATATATATGTGGAGAGAGAGAGAGAGAGAGAAAGAAAGAAAAAGAAAGAAAGAAAGAAAGAAAGGAAAGAAAGGAGAGAAGAAAGAATGCTAACAAAAAAATGACATCCTCCTCCTCCTCCTCCTCCTCCTCCTCCTCCTCCTCCTCCTCCTCCTCCTCCTCCTCCCCCTCCTGCCGCCCCTGCTGCTGCGGGGGGGGGGGGCGGCGGCAGGGCCGACTGCCAAAGCCACGGGCTGCGGAGCCCGAGGGCGGCCCAGCACCTGCTCCGCGCGTGCCGGCGGCACCCCAGCGGTCCTCCGCATCTCGGCTCCGTCCTGGCTGCAACGGTGCCGGTGCCTAGGGGGCCACAGGCGAGCCCTGCCCCTGGCCATCGCTCGGACGTCCAGTTCCTGTGTTTTTTTCGGTGTCGTGCGCGGTGTTTCGCGAAATGAGCAAGGATGCTCCTCGATGGTCCTCGCCGAAGGAAGAAAATACACACGTCCGAGCGATGCCAAGACCCCTGGCCCCCACGATGTCTGAGGGGAGGGGGGGGGTGTGGGGTTCACTGCGCTCGGGAGCTCCCGAACGGAGTGAACCCCACCCCCCACCCCCTCAGAAATCGTGGGGGGTAGGGGTAAGGTTCGCCTGTGGCCCCCTAGGTGCTGCGGCGGCTCGAAGCGGTTTCGCTGTGGCTTCGGTCCGGCCTGGCCGGGTCGTGGACCAGAGGCTGCCCTTCTGGGCATCGGCATCCCAGGTCGCAGCGGCACGGTCGCCGGCATCGGTAGCGGCAGTGACAAGGAGAGGCGAGGGAAGGGGTACTCCAGATTTCGTAACAAAAGGGAGGGGGTCTGGACCCTCCAAGACAAGCCATTTCAGACCTCCCCCGTGGGAGCACCCTCCAAAGCATCGTCCCCAGACCCCCCAGGCCCTCCAAGACAGCCTGGAAGAGACCCCCCCGAAATGAGACCCCCCTCCCTGTGTTACGAACTCTGGAGTAACCGCCACACGCACCATGGGACCGCAGCTAGCAAGAGGTAGCGGCTGAGCGTGGAAGTAGTGATACAGCGGGAGCGCCTTACCAGCATCGCTGATGGCACCAGAAGCGCCAGCGGCGCCAGCTGCAGCAGCGGCAGAGGCAATCGCAGGTGCAACCGATCCAATGTACCTATACGACCGCCCTTCGGGTGATGAGGAGGTTGTGGAGGGGGAAGAGGGGGGGAACCAACATCTGACTCAACCGATCTCACTATCGATCCGACTCAACGGGACACCACGAGACACCACGGGACCCCGTGGGACACTTGTCGATCTCACCATCGATCTCACTATCGATCTCACTCAACGGGACACCGCGGGATACCACGGGACACCACGGGACACCACGGGACACCACATCGATCTCACTATCGATCTCACTATCGATTTCACTATCGATCTCACTCAACGGGACACCACGCGACACCACGGGACACCTGTCGATCTCACTATCGATCTCACTATCGATCTCACTCAACGGGACACCACGGGACACCACGGGCCACCACGGGTCACAACATCGATCTCAGTATCGATCTCACTATCGATCTCACTTCCGATCTCACTCAACGGGACACCACGGGACACCACGGGACACCACGGGACACCACATCGATCTCACTATCGATCTCACTATCGATCTCATTCAACGGGACACCACAGGACACCACGGGCCACCACGGGACACCACTGGACACCGCGGGACACCTCTCGATCTCACTATCGATCTCACTATCGATCTCACTATCGATCTCACTCAACGGGACACCACGGGACACCACGGGACACCACATCGATCTCACTATCGATCTCACTATCGATCTCACTCAACGGGACACCACGGGACACCACGGGACACCACGAGACACCTGTCGATCTCACTATCGATCTCACTATCAATCTCACTCAACGGGACACCACGGGACACCACGGGCCACCTCGGGGCACCACATCGATCTCAGTATCGATCTCACTATCGATCTCAATTCCGATCTCACTCAACGGGACACCACGGGACACCACGGGACACCACGGGACACCTGTCGATCTCACTATCGATCTTTGAGACACCATGGGACACCTCGGGGCACCACATGAATCTCAGTATCGATCTCACTATCGATCTCACTATCGATCTCACTATCGATCCCACTCAACGGGCCACCACGGGACACCACGGGACACCGCTGGACACCGCGAGCCACCGCCGGACGGGCGGGCGGGGGAGAATCATTTGTCTTTACTTCGCCCTAGCAACGGCGGACACCACGGGACACCACGGGACACCACAGGACACCGCGGGACACCGCGGGACACCGCGAGCCACCGCTGGACGGGCGGGCGGGGGAGAATCCTCCTCCTCCTCCTCCTCCTCCTCCTCTAGTCGGAGCCCTCAGCCACCAAGGTTGACTCGGCAACTGACCCACGCTCGCGAGCAGCTGAAATCACCCACGGGGGCTGACGGCATCGCGAAGCCGCTTAAACCTGTTCTGGTGGGAAGGCCTGGGGGGGGCGTTTGGATGGCTATTGGCTCCGCTCCAGGGCGTGCGAAGGCTATCCTGGCCCCCAGCCCGTCTAGCCCCACGACAGGCCTCGAGGCCCCAGTTGACTGTCTACGTGGTAGTTTTTTGGGTTAGATCTGGGCTGGTAGGATCTCCGCCATCGGATGACCTATTGGCGTTGTCCTTGTCCTTGTCCACTGCCAGATGTCTCGGGACGGGGGTTCAGGTCGCGATCTCACTAAGACCTGTAAGTCTTACGTAGCGCGCATGCGGGAACACCACCAGCGATCCCAGGAGGACCTCAGCCAGGCCTCCGAGCGGGCCCAGGGGCACGGTTGGAAGTCCCTGCGGGCCCCAGCCCTCCAGGGCAACCATGATGGTACCCGGGGTGGCGCGGCGGTTGTTGCGAGACGCTGTCCTGGGACGCACTAGCTCGGGCAAGTCGCTTTACATGAAGACAGGGCCACCTGTTGCATAGCGCAGGTATCTGGAGGGGTCGCCATTGCAGTTGCCAGTGTCTATACCCAACCTTTCAGAGGGCTGGCCGAGACCAACTTGTGAGCGTTGCAGTCGGTAGGCGGGTTCGTTTCGGCATCAGGATTGCCATGGCTCGTGGGAAGGGGATCTCAGGATGAAGCTTACGGACCTGCACACATCGGATTGTTTGGAAGTCGCCCGCGGGATCCCCCTCGCGCCGTCGACTGTGGTTACGTGCACCACGACGGGGGGGCATGACGGTGGATGGCTATTTCCTCACCAGCCGCGGCCTCAGTCAGGCTGCATTTCGGTGGAGATCGACACCGCTTGCGATCTCACCCCCCCCACTCGCCTGTCGTGCTCACCCCTTTTCGGCGTCTTGGCACCCCCAGAGCCATGTCTTTCCTGGAGCCGCCGCAGATTGGCCTCGATAGGATTGGTGGCCCGCCTGTTGAGCCACCGTCTTACGACGTTGTGAATTCGCAGGTCCAGGAAGCTCTCACTGCTGCTAAGGCTGACAAGGGCGCGGACACTGCCGATGTTTTGGCTCGTGCGCATGGGTCTTGGGCCGAATCGGACAAGAACTCTGCACGACCACGAGCGCGCATCTGTCTAAGATGGGCACGCGGGGCCGCACCCCCGAGGTCACGTGGGAACCGATCGTTGGCATGGGCATGAAGGGCCCAAGACACCCATAGTTGTATGCCACTTGCTGGCTGCATTCCAGGAATTCCATCCTGGTTCGGGCGATCGAGGCCTCGCCCCATGATGTTGGGGAGGCTGTGCCGACCCTGCTTACGCCGCCTGCCCTCGTGTCCAAGCACCAGGGAGAGCAGGGCCCTCTGCTCCTTGAAGCCTTTGACCTTGTCGCTAAGGTCGCGCAAGACAGCGAGGCCAGCGATGCAGCTGAGGCCGCGTTAGCTACGGTCGCCGCGGCGGTGGACGCGGCGGCTCTCGCCGTCAGAGACAAGGGAAGGGCGCCTTGGAAGGAATGGGTTCAGGTCGGGATTGAAAGAGGAGCGAGGGGGGTTCATCAAGTCACTTCGGAGCCGAAGCCACGGTCGCCGACTAGTGTCATCGCGGATGACAAGGTTGCTGTCAGCGACCCCTTGAGCGTCTCGTCGAGCGAAGCGGCTAAGTTCAGGGATCTGTGGAATGCTTCCATCGAGCCGTCCCCGCCTCCCTCTGATTGCGCGCCTGCCCCTCTTTGATTAGCCTGGGGCCGAGGCTTTCAGGATTGCCAGCCGATCCTATGAAGAAAGGTCTGCCGTCAGCACGAACGGCATCCACATGAGGAAGTTCAGCTGTTTGCCCGACATTGCCCATTCCTGCCTCAGAGACCTCTTTCACGTGATGGAGATCAGCTCTCTTTTGCCGCATATTGTGGCCGCTATGCTTCTCTCATAGCCAGTAGGGGGGTCCGCCCCAGTGTTTTTTTTTTTTTTCCGGGCCCCCGTAAGCTCTGGGGAACGCTGCGACGGCCATGTGCGGTCTAATGGGAAAAGGAAAACAATCGCCCTTGGGATGCTGCTCAGAAGTGCACGGGCGCGGCGGATACAATCTGGCGCAAGGCCCTCATCTCCAAAGGGAGCGCGGCGGCTAGAATGCGCTCTGTCACGCATATATGGAATTTCCTCGAGTACGATGAGAGCCTTTCCATTCAGCAAGTCCTCGAGCGGTGTCAGCAGCACTATGTCACAATCACTCTTGCCAAGCTTGCGTGCCACGCCTATCGAGGCCCGCGCCGTCTATCCCTGGACGGTTTCCTGCCATCTGCTTTGTTCGCCGTCAATGGGGCGGTGGCGAGGCGCCCTTTCGCCACCACCTTGGTTCGAGACAATTCTTTGGCTGGGTTAGATAGTGCGTTCGATCGCACCCGTGCGTTCACTACGGCCTTAACATCGAAGATAATGGCATCCACGCTTTTGGTTCTCACCAGGGAGCGTTAGAAGGCGCGGTCGACGGGGCCCGAGCAGGCGCATAGAGTTGTCACGGAGGACATCGGGGCCACTCCTGCTGCTGACAAAGCCATCTCCTTGCCTTCCAACAAGGTCTTGGGCGAAGATACCCGCGCGCAGCTCGGGCCCTCTTCGACGGGGCCCCTCGTTCTCGCAGCGCCCAACCTCGGAGCAGACGACCCTGCTAGAGGCACGCTGCGGCGCCGCGGACTGGGGGCCGAGGGTGGCAAGCGCAGGGCCGCAGCTGAAGCCCGAGCTGTCGGACCGGGCAGGTCGAGTAAGACCTTGGGGGATAAGACCTCGGGGAGAAGAACCAAAAACGTCCGGGTCTCCGGCCCTCTTCCTGCGGCCACGTGTGCGGCTGAGATCTACGGGGTGGCCGACGCTGAGCTGCTGGGTCTTCGGAGGTCCTTCGCGTCGGTCCCGAAGCCCAGTGCTGGCGACAGATTCCTCTCCATCCTCCTCCTCCTCCTCCCCCTCCTCCTCCTCCTCCTCCTCCTCGGGGAGGGCCCCACTCGGGCGGCGCAGGTGGCCCCCCAATTTTGCGCTGGCGTTGTGGATGGGCTCCTGGTTCCTCGAGGCCTCTCGACCATCTTAGAGGGCAATGTAATTGGGAAACATGAGACTGATCGGATTATTGTCAGTACCCCGCGCGCAAGCTCCTGAAAGGGGGCCGACAGGCCCCCTTTCCCTGAACCACAACAGCGGCCCAGGAAAAGGGTTCAAGGGTTCTGAGCTAGGCTGCACAGGCAACTAGAGGGCCCAAGGTGGCTTCCCGGGGGCCCGCGGGCCTCTAGAATCACACTGGCGGTACTCTACTGCTCAGAACCCGTGCAACTCCTCGACCTCATTCTCGCCTGGTTCAAGCGACTAACCTCGGGCCTCTCTCTGAAGATCTGCTGGGTCTCCCTGAGGCGCTTGTAGGCTTCGGGCTCGTAGTTGAGATCGTCCACGTTGCTGGTAGCACCTGAAGTGCCAGTACAGTCCATCTCGTAGAGGTGGAGTCCAGAGAAGCAGCAGTCGGTCACGGCGAAGATGACTGGCTCCTTTTTCTGGCGTCGAACTCTGTCCTCGTATCGTCGGCGAAGCACGATGCTGTCTGCGGTGATGCCGTATTCTCCGTCATGTAGTGCTTGTCGTAGTAGGGCGCTCTCGCCCTTACGCTTGGTGAGTGGATCGGTGAGCTGGCTGGTGCCCTCGATCCACCGTAGGTGAACTTCTGGTCGTTGCATGGCTGCTCGAACGATAGCTACATCGATGGCGGCGCGCTTGTCCTCGGCTAAGCCTGCCTTGGGATTGGCCACGTGATCGTAGCCGCCTCTGGAATCGGTGACGCTGATCACTGGAAACTTGGATGCTAGCATGTAGGGCCTCATCAGGTCGAACTCGCTGTCCGTAATCTCGAGCAACATGGTGCGCATGAACTCCCCCATGGCCATTCCTTCTGAAATCGCCAGCGTCTCGGCACCGAACTGGTGAGCACACTTCCTCTTAAGTTTGTGACTCTTCCAGGACTGGATCGAGATGATGGCGGGCTCCCCTTTGAGAATATTGCGCTGTGTGGCGAACGCGATGTATCCAGCCTGCGAAGCTCCATCTCTGGCATTTGCCCAGGCCGCGTCATGGAAAACTGCAAAGGCCTTCTCATGAAATGGAATGTGCCTGATCCTGAGAATCACCGAGCTGAATTCTTTAGTCATCCTGCCGATGCGGTTCGCCTCCAGCAAGTCGTCCACCACCAGGTTGGGCATCTTTCCTTGAAGTAGGGACACTGGACCAGATAGATCGGGCCTGCTTTCACGGGCCAGAAACGAAATTGACCCGCACAAACTGCGTGCTTGGTGGAGTTCTTCAGGTGTGACTGCAGAATGAAGCTCTTTACGAAGTTCAGTGGCTATATTGATTAGCTGGATGCTACTAGAACTGAAGCTTTGTGATATCGTGATCTCGGTGTTGTCCTCGTTCTGCTGTAGCTCCTTACCGGTGTACTTCCCGCTCTTGTGGCGCCACGCTCCGAAAGGAAACCTTTCTCGTAGCTCCTGACAGGCAGTGTCGAATAAAACGTCTCCACCACCCACGATGTCGTCCACAGTGAGGCCCATGATGCCGTGAAGTCCCTTCTCGTCTCTCAGGTAGAAGACGCAGCTGTCGAAGATGGAGCACTGGAAACCGATCTCCTTGGCGTACTTGGTGAAAGCTGATAGCCATTGTAATGGAGCGTCGCCTAGGCCATACACTGCCTTGAGTAACTCCACCAGCGAACCGTCCTCCACATCAGGAATCCCAGTGCGAGGAAGCTCCACATAGAGACTGCCTTGAGATCGATCGAGTGGATCTCCAGCGGTAAAAGCCGAAGTGATGCCTGCTAGCTGCAAGGTCCACTTGTTAGAGCACAGGATCTGCAAAATCAGGAACACGGAGTCCTTGCCGACGACTGGGCTGTAGGTCTCGAGGTCGAGCAGGTCGGGGTCGGTGCGGCCTTGAACGGTCCAGCGAGCCTTTGCCACCCTCCAAGTGCCGTCGCTCATGAACATCAACTGCCGCTTGCTAGCGTCGACCTCCTCAGGATTGGCGCCCTTGTCGGTGAGCACCCAGCGGGAACCCATGATCCTGGAAGCTCGATCGGGATCTTGACGTACTTTATCGGCTTCAGCAGGTGGAAGTAGTCGAATTGCTTGTGCATCCGTGATGTTGCCCCACTCTCTACGCTTAGCGGCGATGGAGGGCTGGTACGTGTAGGTGTTCAGAAGCGACTTCTCAGTAATCTCCTTACGAAGTCGTTGATTGGTGTTGGTGAGCATGGCTGAGCTGACGACTGGTGCCTTCACTTTCTTAACCTTCTTCTTGGGTGGTGCTTCCGCCTCCTTGTTGATCTTTGCTTCGATGACGGCAATCCGCTCGCTGACTGGTATGGCTGAGATCGGATTGTTGATGTTCTGCTTTATCGTCAACGGCACGTCGTCTAGATGATCGTAGTACTTGGTGGCCATGGGAATCAGCTCCGGGTTGACATCCGCGGCCTTCTCGATCTCTGTGGTGGGCGGCTGTGAGGCTGCCCCTTGATCATCCGCGGCTGGCTCTGGTGGAGCAAAGTGAGGCACTTCAAGATCGTCTGGTGGCTGATCTTGTCGAGTGAGGTCTTCGTATTTACGACGTCCTCTGTTCTCGGTGTTCAACTCCTCCTTCATGGTGTTGTCGATCTGCTCCCAGGCTGCGACCTCGGCCTCGTTAGCATGTCGAAGCTGTTCAGGTGAGCACTTGAGTAGACCTCCCTGATATGAGCACCACACTGTACTCGGAAGCTCCACCTGGATGACACGTACATGTCCATGCCAAGAACTAGTTGGCAGCTTGTCAGCACTGCTTCGCCAGAAATAACATCGATCTCCTGGCTGAAAAGTGGTGCCTCTAGTAGGTCTCGTCCTCCTCTGAAGCGCCCGTCTCCACTTTTCTGAGCACTCGGCCTCGATGTAGGCAGCCATGGCGGCCTTGCGCATGTCGATGCTCCTGGCCAACTCGGTGTCACCGTTCATCGCCCTGGAGACCGTTGACAAACTTGGTGGTCCTTCTTCTAAGATCTTCTCAGGAAGTCGAAATGGTCGTCCGAAAATTCTCTGATACGGTGTAAAACCTCCTCGGCGAACGCTCTCGCCCATAGCCACGTTGACCGCGTCCACGAGCTCGTAGAAGTCCTCCCAGTTGTTGGTGTTGAACTTCTGCCTGGTTCGGTAGAAGGTCTCCTTCCAGGTGCCTCCAGCGCGTTCGGTCTTGCCCGCCTGCCATGGTGAAGTAGCGCTCGCCACCTTGATCTCGGAGCCATCTCCTTCAGCAGCTTCTGGAAACTCACCTGCAGAGAAACCTTTCTCGCCATCAATGACTATCATGCGGGGCACCCCGTAAACACGCTTCCAGAATGCGCGGTAATGACGCCGTATCTGAGGGCCATGTCGACTCGGTAGAGGTATCGCCACTTGATGTCCAGTACCGTGGCAGACTATGTTCAGCATGGGCACCTTGGTGGTGTTCTCGGGTCCCAACACGAAGAAGATGTCCATGCAGATGACATCGTTGAACTGGTAGGTAGTCGGAGCTTTGGAGGGCTTCGCGAGCTTCGGCCTCTTGTTCGCCTCGCAGCTCGGGCACTCGAGCTTCTGCGCCGCCTCAATGAAGGCCTGTCTGGCCTTGCCGTACTTCAACACCATGACCAGGTTCTCGTTGCTGCAGTGGCCCATGTTCTCATGGATCTTCTGAACCTGCTGCTTGACGTGAGGGTCCGTGCTCTTCTCGTCTTTTGGTGCCGTTGTTGGTGTCGTAGGTGCCGCGCAGCATGCTGTACACTTGTCCTCGATCTGCTCCCCGAGCTCCTTCGTGGTCTTCATCTCGATGATCGTCCGAACCAGCACCCCAACCAGCTCCTGTGGGGAGTCGTCAATGTCCCCGAGGGCGGTGTGAGGTGGTCGATTCACGAACTCCTGGCTCAACAACTTGGCGTACTCGATGGCATCCTTGGGTAGATTGGAGAAGTACTTGCGGCCCTTCCGAAGCGCTCTGTCCTCGCCGATGTCGGGTAGACGCTTGAGCTTCTTGATGAGGGGATCCTCCCAGTCCCTGGAGTTCATGTCCTGCTCGTAATAGAAGTACCTGCCGGTGACGGCCTGCTTGATCGCCACGTCGGAGATGAACGTCAGCATCTCCTTGCCGATCTTCTCCTTCAACTTGGTGTTGTAGATGTCCTTCGGAGGCTTGATAACTACCATGAGAGGCGCTGAGTGTTGAAGCTTGCTCCAGACTTCTCGCTGCCCCATCCTCGTCAGCAGATGGGAACCCATGAGCGTCACGATCTCCTTGTTGGTCACGCTCCTTTCGGCTCGATCGTCCTCCTTGAGATGGTCCAGCTCGGGCTCGAAGTTGAGGGTGACCTGATTCACGAAGGCGCTGCTCTCGGGGATCGCGGCCTCCACTGCCTGAGTCAGGTCCTCGAAGTCGCTGATCTGCTTGATGGACTTGTTGATCACGCTGTTCTGCTTGTCGCTGAGCTTCTCTAGCAGTCGCTGATGTCGGCTCCGAGGTGTTCGCGGAGGTTCTCCACCAGCTGATTGGTCGTCGCGTTGGCGTTCTCGTCCTGAAGTAGCTCGCGCAGCGCTGTCAAGGCCTTGCTCCGTGGGGAGTCGCCCAGCTGCTCCCAGTCCTCTGTCTCCTCCTCCAGCTCGTCCTTCTGACACCGGTTGTCCTGGTGCCTTGGCTTGGTTCTGGAAGAGGTCCTCGGGCTTGTCGATGCCGTCCTGCTGGTCGCTGTTGGTCCCGTCTCGGTCTCCTCCTTCTTCTTGCTGCTGGTCTTGGTCGCTCTGGGCTTCCATCCCTTGATCCTCGCCTCCTCGTCCTTGAAGTCGTTGAGCATGTTGATGACCTTCATCATCCCTGGGGCTGACTGCGGGCAGTACTCGAGGTGCATCTTGCAGCCGCAACACTGCACCCAGAACGCTCGACCGTTGCCGCCGTGGCCCGTGAACTCGTGAACGCACGCCGTCTCTCGAGCTGGATCGCGATCTCGAGCCTGCCTCGGGTTGCTCTTCGGTGGACAGGGGCCCTGGTTGGGGATGCCCAAGAAACTGCAGATCATTGCTCCCGTTGGCGGCCTCGGTCGGTTGTCTATCTCGTGCCACGGCCACTGAAAACCCTTCCCCCTCTCTGGGTTGTCCCTCACCTTCGGGTCCTTCTGGGGATTCACAGGCTTCGCCGCGGCTTCTGTGGCCTCCGCCTGACCCGCAGTCGTTAGTGGCCTTCGCGATGATGAAGGCTGCGAGCGCCGAGTAGAGGTACTCGGGAGCTCGTCGCATGACATGGAAATATGGAGAAATACTGGTTGAAGAGATTCTGGGAGAACCCGTCCGTGAAAGCTGACTCGAGCCGAACCAGCTTTTGGAGATCGCACGTGGTTTATATCGCAGTTTACGTTTGAGAACCTCGGCCACTATGTCATTGCACTTGTTGTTCTCTTTGCTTGGCTTGTCGTAGTTGCTGTCTTCTCTGGCGCTGTTGTGCTTGCCTTTGCTTTTGTCTAGCTCGTTGCCGTGCTCTTGTACTCTACCCTCCTGACCTCGTGCTCCTCCAACTCCCCTTCGTGCTCGTGCTAGTGCTACTAGTATGTGTCGGGTGCTCGTCCTACGATCTCCCCTTGCCCGTTGTCCAGGTTGCTCTGAAACCGCTGTAGTGCCCAAGACGCCCGAGAAGTAGCAGCTTCCGATCGTCTGGGGCCTCTCGAGGTCTTTGGGGCCCGACGTAGATGATAGATGGATATACTCCGAGCTCGTTCCGAAGTCAATCGAAACCTCCCTCGAGCACAGAGTCCAGCTCTCAGGCTTCCTCCACGGGCGCGCGAAGCTGTCGAGCTGCAGCAGGAAGTGCTCACCTCCAGCGTGGGCCAGAGGAAGTCTGACGTTCTGCTCTGGCAGGTCCAACTCCGGCTGGAACGCGTGGAGTGACGCCTTCAGCTCCACAACGAACGTCTTGGAGAGCAACAGTGGGGCCGCGCCCTTGACCAGGCACACGAAGATCACTCCGCTGAAGTGGCCCAGCATGATCGGAATGAACGCGCCCTCCGTCGCCGTGCAGACCTGGTCGTTCCCGAACCTGTACTTCTTGTGGTAGGGCACCGTCTCCAGCGTGATGCTGTGCACGTCCTTGTAGTGCTTGGCCCAAGCGTCGAAGGTGACCAGGCCCATCATGTTGAAGCCGCATGCCGTGTCGACCGCGCCCCAGCCTGGCCTGCCCGACTTCTCGATGTCGATTGCCAGCGTGATGTGCTCGACCATGTTGGATCTCTCCGCCATCTTCGCCTCCGTTGCCACGTAGCTACACACCTCGTCGTCCTGGAGCACCGTCATCGCGAAGAAGCCGCCCGTCACCCTGCCCTTGTTCTTCGGATTGTCGGGGCACGCCTTGTGCCAGTGACCCAGCTTCTTGCATATGCCGCACTTCGTCCTCTTCTTGATGTCTTCTATCTTCTCCTCGGTCCTTTTCCTGTCCTTGATGTTGTGGAACCCCCTGTTCGTCTTCTTGTCGGCCACGATCTTCCGAGCTTCACCCCATGTCCTGGGCTTTGGTGATGGCCCGACCAGCGCCGCTAAGCAGTCCAGCGCCTCGGCCTCCGTGAGAGCCTCGCCGTTCTCGAGCTTGTCGTCTGGCTCCTTGTCGTCGTCTATGCCCAGCAAGTTCGCCATCGCGTCATAGATGGGGTCGTCGTCGTCCTCGACCTCAGTATCCTCCTGCGGCTCCTCTTCCCGAACTCCCGCCATGTAGGAAGCCGCTCTGGTTGTCGAGGTCTTCTCCGTGACCGTGTTGTCGTCCGTCATGCGCTTCAGGATCGCTACCAGCTTGTTCACGTCGTAGTCGTAGCCCGTCTGGATGAGCACTTGGTTGCGTTCCGTCTTGGCCAGGCCGGCCCCTCGAAGCAGCAGGAAGCCCATGACCGTCTCGTTGAGCGCGCTAGGCAGCAACCTGATCAGCTCCCTCTGTTCCGCGCGGATCCTGTTCGTGAGCTTCATGAGCGTCTCATCTCGCGCTCTCGGTGCTGCGAACAGCGTCTTCTCGAGCTGCTGAAACGTCTCGACGTCCCCCTCTGGGGAGGCCAGCGTGTCCAGCGCCATGATCACCTTCTGCAGCCCTCCAGCGAACTGTACACTTCCTGGTCGAAGATGTCTCGTCGCTATCGCCGCCTCCTTTGTCAGGTGCAGCAGCAACGTCTCGCCCTGCTCCTCAGGTGGGACCGCCGTGAGTCGGCTCCACCTGTCTATGGCCAGCCTCTTCTCGGGCCACTCGCTGAGATCCTTGCCGTCCCAGGCTGGACATGGTGGATCTTTTCCTCCTCTGCGTCCTCCTGGTGGTCGTCGTCCTCCGTCTTGGTCTTCGCCCAGTTCAAGTCGTCCTCGACGAAGGCCTACAGCCTTCTTGACCTGCTCTGGCGTGCCGAAACCTCTCGACCGCGATGATCTGTCCGACGGTGTGTCCTCGTGCTCGTATCTGTCGTGCTCGTACTTGTCATTCTCGGCCCAGTAGTCATCGTTCGAGCCGTCGCTTGCCCGCTGCCAAGCTCCCCAATCGGCTTCTCGATGTTTGGTCCATGAACTCCAAGGGTCCCACGAGCTGCTCTGCCGTGTACTGTTCTGAATCCAATTGTTGTCGTCCCCATTGTCATCATCCACGACTTCCCATCTCTGCTTGCTGTCGTGACCGCTGTCGTTGCCGTCGCTCCGCTTACCACATGTGGATGGGCCCCTGGTTCCTCGAGGCCTCTCGACCATCTTAGAGGGTAATGTAATTGGGAAACATGAGACTGATCGGATTCTTTTCAGTACCCCGCGCGCAAGCTCCTGAAAAGGGGGCCGACAAGCCCCATTTCCCTGAACCACAACAGCGGCCCAGGAAAAGGGTTCAAGGGTTCTGAGCTAGGCTGCACAGGCAACTAGAGGGCCCAAGGTGGCTTCTTGGGGGCCCGCGGGCCTCTAGAATCACAGGCGTAAAGAAATATGGAATACTGAAATGAGAATTCACCCTGCCTTAGGGGGCCCTGGAAACGACAGGGCCGTTTTTGTCACCGGTTCCGTTTTGCTGTTTTTGTACCAATTCCGACGCCGTTTTTTTACCGGTTCCGTCGCCGTTTTTTGACCGGTTCCAGCTCGGCTTCCAATCCTGGAGTCGTTTTTTGGCCGTTTCCGGTCGCCGTTTTTTTGCCGTTTTCATTTTCAAGGGACATTTTTTGGAAACGGTGAAGAAACGGCCCTGCCGTTTCCGGGGCCCACAAAGCACCCTGCCACTCTTAGTCTTCAAGCTTAGCATGAGGCCTGACCCAGGAGTGTTCAAAAGGCCGGGAAAACGTGGATGTCGGTTTCGGGCCCCGGGTCGGCGATGCGAAAATGTCTCGCCAGGATTGGGGAGGTGGCCGATTTTGCCAGGTTGTTAGATGACCGAGGCAAGGAAATATCTCCCACGCTACTGTCTGCAGGTGCATTGAAGCTGCTACTTCAAGACGCAGTGCTGCGACAGCTCGAGCACAGCATTGGCCGGAAGCTGCAGTTTCCGAACGGCGCCTGCTTCGGTAGTGTTTCAATGCACCTGGCGTCCAATAAGTATTCTGCCATGGAGAAAGGTGTGCTTCGCTGTGTTGCCGCAGGGGCGCATTGGACGACAGCATATTATAGGTCGAAGGGATAACGGTATCCAGTTGAGTGTCCCTTGTGTTGCAGCTGTCTAGATACTTTACATCACCCTATCTGGAAATGCCCGAAGTTGAATGATTTGAGGAGCGAGGTCGTCAGCCAGGAAATTCTCGACGAGGTGGACGGGCTTGCGACGCAAAACCACAACCTGTTGCTTTCCGTGACCAGGGGAGGGATTCCGCATCCAGGGGGCGTTTTTCCTCCACCGTTGTCCGAGGGGTGTTGCGAGGTGGATTGGGTTGCGGACCCTCTTGAAAATGAGTTGTCGTACAAAGGTTCTGTTTATGTTGGCGGCTCTTGTTCGACCCACCCGATCAAAGAATTGGGACGGGCGGGGTGGTGCGCCACCTCGTTTAAGGATGGAGTCCGACGGTTTGATCTGAGATGTCCAATCCAATTGCCCTTGTACCAGTCGGCGCAAGCCGCGGAGTTTTCCGCGTCCACGGGCTCTGTGATGTGTCTGGTGGGACCAGCTACAATAGTCTCCGAGCGTGTTGACGTTATTTCTCAGCTTCAAGCACCCTCTGAGGAGATCGCCTCTTTTCGCAAAACGTGTGCAGGCCATGTTGGGCAGGCTAAGTACTGCGACTCTGCGCGCCACTTGCAGAGCATAGGTGAAGGCTCACCTTTCGCTCCCAGAGGAAGGCCTGCCAGATGATGATAAGTTTCGTCGCATTGGCAACCACCTCGCGGATGCTGGTTCAAAGGCTGCTGCACGCGTGCATCCTTTTGATGCTGAGTGCATGGAAGAGACGAATTCCAAAATCAAATATCTGCGTTCTGCAAGCTCGCGATGAAGTTGCTCCCTCTTTTCCCAGCCTAAAGGATCAGGATGACGTCGGTTATGTGCCCGTTCCAAAAGATTCGGTGCCAACCAGTCGTGTTCCATGCCAATGGGTATGGATAGCGGCTTTCTGGAGATGCCAAGTGTGCTGTCAAGCCACTCGGCATCCAGGTCTTGCGAGGTCTAATGTTAATGACCAGTCCTGCCCGTCTGCACGTGTGTGTAGCGATGTGGTGAGAGGACTCGGCTGGGAACGAATTCGTAGCAATAAGCATGTTATTGTTGCGTGTCCCTGTTCAGACCGCTCAACTCTCTATGTGTGTGCCCCGGTTTTGTCCGCTGGCTCCCCTTTAAAGCCCGACCTTTACAGGACGGTGTGCCCAGCACATACTGTTGGGTAAACACCCACGGCATTGGAGGGGACAGGTCAAGGTTTTAAGTGACATCCCCCTCCATTGAATGCTTCCTATGTAAACTGTTCAGTGTGTCGCTGCTACCTATCAGTTTCATTTTATTGAATGCAGTTGAAGCCTGGGGGGCCAAAAATCCTCCTCCCCCTCCCCCTCCTCCGCCTCCTCCGCCCTCCTCCGCCCTCCTCCTTTTCCTCCTCATCCTCCTCCTCATCCTCCTTCCCGCCGTAGGTAAAAAAGTCTACCCTCCATGATGGCAGACATGTCTGCCTTCTGGAGGGGCCGAGGGGGTCATAAGGGGGAGGGGGGAAGGCTTCTTAGAAGCAGGGGGATTCCTGGAAAGCAACGGCTTTACATCTAGCATCACGAGGGGGTAGGGGGAGGGGGGAGGGCTTCTTAGAAGCAGGGTGGCTCCTGGAAGGCAACGGCCTTACATCTAACATCTATGCAGTGGAGGCTAGTCCACAAGAAACCTTCCACAAGAAACCCAACCCTGAGACCCCAGGACGTCCATGAATTGTTGGTGTGGGAACGTCGCGCGCTCCACGGCAAAACCATCGAAATCCCTGAAACCCAGGGCACCCTGGAGGCAAGCAGAGTGTTTCTTGGCATGGGTCTTCACTGTATAGATGGGGCCCGCGCCTTCTGAGAAGCAGGGTGACTCTAAGAAGCCTTCCCCCATCCCCCTTACCATCCCGCGTGACCGACTCTTTTGCCTTCAGGGCGTAGGGAAATTAAAAGACACCTACTCCCCTGGGCTCCTAACCTCTCCCGGGGTGCGTCCTGACCAGATTTTCGAGCCGAATCCAGCCGTGGCGACGAGGGCCTCCCAGGAGGCCCAAAAAGGGCTTAACGATCAGGGGCGCAGTGACCCGGGTCAATGCAAACCTGGGTCAGCCGGGACTTGCAGGATCCTGCACCCAAACCCGGATCAGTGCACCCCTGGCTCTGCAGGACCCTGCAAGAAGAGCCTGCGCTCTGACTGACCCCCGCTTGCACTGACCCCCGCCTCCTGAGGCCCGAAGAACGAAGCGAGGGCAGCGGTACCCATCGGTCGGAAGAAGTAGGCAGAAACATGAAGCAGGAAGGCGTTGAAAATAGATTGGGTTCCCGCCCGCCCACTAAAGAGAACGGAAAAGGTGAAGCCACTCGAGCATGTAAGCAGGAAGGCGCCTGAAGCAGATTGGTACCAGGGATCCCCAAATGCCTACTTTCGACGACCGATGGGTATCGGCCCCCTTCCCCTCCTCGTGAGGGTGCAACGGGAACTCAGTCGGGTAAGAGTGGCACTGCCCCAAAGCCGAGTTGCTCTCCACTCCCTCCCCAGCTTCCCTCATCCCACCAGGTCTCGTTCCTCTCCCTCCTCCCTCCTGCCTCCCACTCCATCCAACTCCCTCCTCCCCCCCCCCTCCCCCCCCTCCTCTCCCCCCACCCCCCACCCCCTCCCCCCCCTCCTCTCCCCCCCTCTTCTCCCTCCCTCCTCCTCTCCCCCCGCCCCCCCTCCTCTCCTCCTCCCTCTCCCCCCCCTCCCCCCCCCTCCTCTCTCCCCCCCCCCCCGTGGGGAGGAGCCGTAGGGAGCCCGTGCGGGGGACCTCGGCGCCGCGGGGTGCGCACTCGCGGCGGCGGCGGCGGTGGGCTCCTGCGATGGCAGCCGGCCGCCGCCGCCGCGGAGGGCCTCGGGCGCGCGGGGATCCGCCCACGCGTGGCGCTCCTCCTGCTCCTCCTCCTCCTCCTGCTCCTCCTCCTGCTCCTCCTCCTCCTCCTGCTTCTCCTCCTGCTCCTCCTCCTCCTCCTCCTCCTCCTCCTCCTCCTCCTCCGGGGAGGAGACGGGAGGATTGAGCCAAGGACCGACCGTCCCGACAGTCCTATAGGCCTACCACGGGACGTTCGCAGATCCTCCCAAATGCGCCGAGAACCCAAGCAACGTTCTTAGAGCACAAACCCGATGTGTGAAAAGAAGGCAGTCCCAGCCAGGACGGTTCGAAGAACATTTCGTGGAAAGCACAAGAGGTTCTTAGAACCTTGTTTGGTGGGCCTACAGGCACGCCAGGACGCTTCGCCACTGCTTGAGAGGAGGGGGGAGGGGGAAGATATGTTTGTCTGCCCTTGACGGGGCCCACCGCTGGGTGCGACCAGCTGACAGAAGGGGACCTGCCAGCCTGCTGCGCCGAAAGGAACCCCGAGCCACGAAGCAGCGCGTCGCATGTGACCGGCGGCGGAGGAGGGTGAATTCAGGGAGACGGCCGAGGGGCCGTTCCTGTATAGGATCCGTAGGTAGAGGCGTCCCTTCTGCAAGGCACTGCGCAGTGAGCAGCGCCTCAAGGTTAGCCTGCCAATACCTTGAGGAGAAGAGTCACCATGCCCATTTCATCCTCCACGCAGGCCTCGCCCAAGTGGCGCGCGCTTTACCTGAGCCGGCTCCATGCCCTCTTGGTTCCCCCGTGGAGCGCTCCAGCTCCGTGGCTGAAGATTGCCCTGCGACAGAGGAGGTACCGATACCGCTGCCCCCGTCTCAATCTCGCCTTTATCGGGGATGGACAGACCCCCCAATAGAAAACGTGGTTTCGTGAAAACGACCTGAGGCCCAAACCTGGCGGGCGCAAGCCTGGAAAATGACGGCCACGGCGCCCTCTCGAGAACCGAAAACGGACTATTCACTCATCGACGTGTCACTGTTGGGGGTTCTGTCCACCCCCGACCTTTTCTGGGCCTCCTGGGGGAGCGCCCTCGTCACCACGGCCGGATTCGCCTCGAGATGCTGGCCACAACGCGCCCCCCGGGAGAGGTCTGGGCAGCAGCCGCATCGGCACCAGAGGATGGTCGAGGACGATATAGGACGAGAATGGATGTCTCCCACGCGGAGTCCGATGAAGTGGGGTTAAAAAAAACGC